GTTCAGCTGTCATGCCAGCTACAGCAAACATTAATAGGGAAATGAGGGTGATCTGAGGATCTTTCCATGAAATTCAAGGCACAGCTCATGTTCAGTAGGTGCATCCAGAATAACTCTCCTACAATTGCCAAGGATCTGTGATATGAACACGAGAGGCTTTCTAGGCAGCTGTTTTTTGAGTCAATGGGCTGTAACAATTTTGAAATCAATGATTATTTAAGAACTCCTAAAACTGCACATTATCCAGCTGCCCTGCACACATACATTGGATCTGCTCTGCTCTCTGTGGCTCTCTGCAAATGGAGAGTTTGGATCTGAGATCTGAAGCTGAGTGTGGCTCAGAACACCTCTTTTCTGTCCACAGCCACCACAGAGCTCTACAGCAATTTTCTGTTTCAGGAGGAGCTGGAAATACTTAGCACTGTTCAGGGGTGGTGAGAGGATTCCTTTGTGGATTTAATAAAGGACCTATTTATGGCCACATCTGCTTATTTAGGGTTTCACCAATCCTGATATTTACATAGTCCTGGTTTTTACTTTTTTTACACGATTCAGAGTTTACAACCAGCTATAAAAGCACTGGGCTTCAGATATAAAGCTGCAAAGCCACCATCTATTCATTTTTCTTTGGGTGTCTCCATCCTGACAGATTTTGAAAGATGAGCTGAAGTTTATGTTTGGATAAGATGTTAAAGAACAGCACATGCTCTGCCTTCAAATCCTCCAGTGATACTTCTCACAAAGGATTTCCTGCAGTGTATTTAGCTGACCTCCATTCAGTGAGTTCACCTGTGGAAGTGATAAATTGTGCCCACATGACTAATGCCAGGGTGATGAAACCTTCTAGAAATTATTCTGGTGGGCAAGACAAAGTGACAAAAGCAAAGGATATGTGCTATGAGTTTGTGATGAGATCAGAGCATTTTCTCACATTCTATAGAGTACCTGTGTAGCTCTCTGTGAGACAAAGACTGTGCTTAGATCACCTCATCAGTTCTGTCTCTGTGGGTTTACTCCAAATTACAGGGAATTTGCAGCAGCACTTGTTTCACAAAAACATCACAACCCAGAAATTTCTCCCCTTCTCTGATAAAAATGCCATCTCTGTGAGTCAGACACAGCACTGTGATGAGCCTCAGAAATAAAAGTCTGATAAATTGAACAACCTGCTTTCTTGAAGCACTAGGAGATTCTAATATTTGTCAGGGAGGACTCTCAGCTTGCCAGGAAGCCACTGGAAAACAGAGACTAACAAAGCCTCCCATTTAAAGGTACAAAAATGCCTTTGTAAGGCATAATAAGGGAACAACTTTAACTGTTCCAAAATACCTCTCAACCCACACACATCTCATACACCCTGATCCACTCAGCCTGGGGAAACCTGAGACAGGCTTCCAAGCATAACTCCCTTGTAGTTTTTCCAGTTTTGAATAAAAACATCCTTATCAAATACATCCCACAAGAGACATTCCTTTTGAAGAGAAAGTAGCATCCCTTCTCTGGGTGAGCTCTGTTTGTTTCCAGCCATGCATTTCAGAAGGAGCACTTGAAAGACTGACAGAGAAATGCTGAGGAAGTCAGATTTTTAAAAAGGCCCTGATAATATGAAAGGATTTGCAATAGGAAATGGAGACCCGTTGAGAACAGCTCAGACTCTGCAGCAGTTCATCTTTGGCATTCACAAAATTGTGTTTATATGCCTGGACAGCGTGACAGGAGCTCTAAAATCTGATGGTGGAAGGATTCATTTTGATTGCCTGGGAAAGGAGTGTTTGTGTGTGGGGCAAGCTGTTAAATGTCTTCTCATCCTTCTTTCTCCTTTTGGACATCCAAACTCTGATGCCAGGAGTTGCCTCAGCATTCTCCTGTTGGAGTATGTTTAATGTAGCCACAGAATCAAGCAGTGCCTGGCTGGAATTCTGCTTCCCCACAGTATCTGGAACCCCAGATGTGCAAACTTCTTCAGGAGAGCTCCCACTTGGACAAATAAAGGAACAAGGAAGCTCAGCCCTGCCCTTTCCTCAGGATGGAAAAGAGGAAGCTGAACCCAAGGTGACCCAAAGTTTGTCACCTGTGCTTACAGAGGGGACGCTCGGGGGTGGCACATAAAGATGGGGCAGGAATCTGGGTGGAACAGGGTGATTCCTGCCAGGGAAGCAGGGCTGCTGTGCCCTGCACACCCTCCTCAGCAGGCTGCAAGCCAGGGCTTTTGGAGCAGTGGGGCACCACAGAATCACAGCACACGGGCTCAAGCTCCAGCCTAGCAGGAGTGCAGCTCTTTAGAAAAATAATGAAAAAGAAGAGGCAGTGCTGAGACAGGATAAATAAGGAGATAAATCACTTTGCAATACAATACAGCCAAAACCCGAAAATAAACAATTACTTTAAATCATATCAAGCACCTATCACAAACATCACATTTATACAATTGATCCATGTGTAAATTAGCCAATTAATTCTGAATTGCAACACTAATGAAATAATAATTATCTGTTTACAATGGAATGGTACGAGTGAAAGTCTAGAAACAGAAATAAACACTGCAGCAAAATCCACTCAGCTCCATCACCAGTGGGCTAGGGGGAAATGGTCAATACCAGTCTTTAACACCCAGATATTTCTGGGGAGGGGGAATAAATAAAATACATAAATAAGCAAGAAATCTATGGACCTTAAAAAAAAAAGAGAGAGAGAGAAATGCTCTTGTAGAACACTGCAGGGTTTTGTTTGTTTGTTTGTTTTGTAGTAAATAATTGCAAAGTGGGAATTTCTTCTAACTTAACCAGAGGCTGGTTTGATTTTTTTGTCCTTGCTTGGCTTTCTACTTTGAATTGTTTGCCCTGAGGGACTCCAAAGGGATTAGGAGCTCATAATTACCAAAGCAGTGAAAGATGGATGGAAAAGAGTGGAAGCTTCAGTACAGAATTATTTTGGTGACTCATATCTAAATAAAATCTTCACTGAGATGGAGAAATGCACTGGGGTCTTCTATAAGAACTTTTCACCCTTGGCTTTTCATGTAAGAGCTGCAAACATTTAGCACAGAGCTTTAGCCCAGATCTCAGGCAGGAGCCTGAGTTAGGTTGTTTTCTGAACAGAAACTATTTTCTGTCTGTCTGGGGATTTTTCCTCTGTACATTCTACCCCAGAGTTGGGGGATATTCCCAGAGAAACAGCATTTCTTTGAAAAATTCCCAATGACCTTTACTTTGCCAGGTGCTTTAAGTTGTTAAGGAGAGCAGGAACAAGAAACAGTTGTTAATAAAAGAATATTTCTGCAAACTATTAATTGCTGAGACCCCATCCCCAAGATGTGCAGAAGATACATGAAACACCACGTCTGTTGCAGCCAAAAATGTTGTGTGACTGGTTCTATACAAATTCTCCCTCTATTTATAACCCCAAATGTTCAGGAGGAGGAAAGACTCCGGGGCAGTTTGACTCAGATAAATAATGTCTTGCTTCAAATTGCCAAGTGGGAGTCTTTAAAACGAAATAGCAAGAAAAATCAGGTAGAATTGATCAAGGCATTAAAATGTTTAGAAGCAGAGATTGTTGTGCACATGTGAGCATGTCCCAGTCCAGAGCTCTGCATGTGCCAGAGCAGATTTTTGCAGTGCACGCTCAAAGGTATTCCAAGCGTTAGAAGGATGCCAGAACTGAATGGCTCATTCCCTTCCCTTCCCTTCCCTTCCCTTCCCTTCCCGTACCGGCGGGCAGTACGCGGTATTACCGCCCTACCGGGGCTCACGCCGCCGTTCCCAGGCCCCAGGGAGCTGCCGCTTCCCGGTGTCCCGGTGTCCCGGGGTGGTGCGGGGAGCGCTCCGGGCCCGCCCGGCCCCGAACGGGGGCGCTCCCGCGGCCCGCCAGGGGGCGCCCTGCGCCCGGACCCCGGGAGCGGCGGGGACGGAGCCGGGAACGGGGCAGGGATGGAGCCGGGAACGGGGCAGGGATGGATCAGTGAGAGGGATAGGGATGGAGCCGGGAACAGCGGGGATGAATCTAGGAACGGGGCAGGGATGGAACTGGGAACGAGGCAGGGATGGATCCCGGTAACGGGGCACGGATGGATCCCGGCATCACCCCGTGCCCGCACACGCAGAGCGGCAGGGATGAATTTAGCAGAACGGTGCTCGGATTCCGAGAACGGCAGGGATCGATCCCGGGAGCGCCCCGTGACCGAACCCCGGGAGCGCCCGGAGTTCGAAGCCCAGGAGCAGGGCAGCAACGAATCCCGGGATCCGGGAAGCAACGAATCCCGCCGCCTTGTGCCCTGATCCCACGAGCGGCGGGCCCGTTGTCGCCGCTCCGCCGCGGGTTCGACGTGTCCCGGCGGCCCCGGTGCTGCGCGGCCGGGAGCCGAGGGGGCGGCGGAGGGCCCCGTCGGGGCACAGCTCTCCCGCAGCCCCCGCCCCGCAGCCGCCCGCTAAGTCGTTCCTGCCCCGCGGCGGAGCGCAGCAGAGCCTGTCCGGTGCCCGGTATCCCGGCGGGGCTCGGCCCGGCCCGCTCCCCCCCGCTCGGCCCGTGCCATTCGCCTGCCGCCGCTCCCGCCGCGCTCCGCCGAGCCGGTCCCTTTGTGCCGCCGGCCCGGCCCCGCTCGCTGCCTAATTGGACTCTGTAAACGCCACGAACGGGCGGGCGGTCGCCGCCTCCGGGCACGGCGGCGCGTCCGGGGCGGGGGGGCCGGGGCCGCGGCGGCTGCGAGCAGGGGCTGCGCGGAGCCCTCTCCTCCCGCCTGATCCCATTCGCCTTTGTGCGTGCCCAATCGCCGCGTGCTCCCGGCGCGGAACGGGGATGACATTTTGATTTCATCATTAGCATCCGGCGTCAGGTTGACGCAGCGGCAGCGGCGGCGGGAGGCGGCGGCGGCGGCGGCGGCGGCAGCGACGACCCCGGCTCTCCGCCTGCCCGCAGCAGCCCCCCGGTGCCGCGGGCTGCGCGAATCCCCCCGCGCGGGCTGCGGGGCCAGCGGCGGCCAGGAGCCGGGCGGGCAGCGGAGGATGCCGGAGACCGGGCAGGAGCCACCCAGCGCCCCTCCGCCTCCCCCCAAGGAGTCCTTCTACATCAAGAACCTGCTCAACGGCGGCCCCCCCAAGGCGCCCCCCAAGCAGCCGCGGGCGCTGTTCGCCCCCTCGGGCAAGGCGGCGGTGGACGGCGCCGGCTTCGCCCTCTCGCAGGTGGGCGACCTCGCCTTTCCCCGCTTCGAGATCCCGGCGCCGCGCTTCGCCCTGAGCGCGCACTGCCTGGAGCGCGCCCAGACCTGGTGGTACCCCTACGCCCTGACGCCGGCCGGAGCCCACCTGCCCCGCACGGAAGGTACCGCTCCCCAAAACTTCCATCGCTCCTTCCTTCTCTCCGTCCCTCCCCGGCGGGGCGGCGGCCGTGGGGACCGGGGGCGGCGGGGCGGGGGGTGAAGCCGGCGCTGGGGGGGGGCGCGGGGATCCGTCCCGTCGGGCCTGGGCGGTGAAGGTGTCTCTTTGTGTCCCTCATCTCCCCCCTTCACGCCCCGCTTCGTCCTTCCCATCCAGCCGCAGAGAAATCCCTGCTGAGGGACTCGTCCCCCGCCTCGGGCACCGACCGGGACTCCCCGGAGCCGCTGCTGAAGGCGGAGGGGGAGCAGAAGGAGCTGGACTCCAAGAGCCCCGACGAGATCGTCCTGGAAGAGAGCGACTCGGAGGAGGCGAAGAAGGAGGGAGGCGCGGAGGACTGGAAGAAGCGGGAGGAGAGCCCGGAGAAGAAGCCGTGCCGCAAGAAGAAGACGCGCACGGTGTTCAGCCGCTCGCAGGTTTTCCAGCTGGAATCCACCTTCGACATGAAGCGCTACCTGAGCAGCTCGGAGCGCGCCGGCCTGGCCGCCTCGCTGCACCTGACAGAGACCCAGGTGAAGATTTGGTTCCAGAACCGCCGCAACAAGTGGAAGCGGCAGCTGGCGGCCGAGCTGGAGGCGGCCAACCTGAGCCACGCGGCCGCGCAGCGCATCGTCCGCGTCCCCATCCTCTACCACGAGAACTCGGGCGCGGAGGGGGGCGCGGGGGGCGGCGGAGCCCCCGGCACGCAGCCCCTGCTCACCTTCCCTCACCCCGTCTACTATTCCCACCCCGTGGTCACCTCGGTGCCGCTGCTGCGGCCCGTCTGAGCCCGGCCGGCGCTGCGCGGAGGGGCGCGGAGAGGCGCGCAAGTCACCCGGCCGCTTGTAAGTACTGCAGCCCCCCGTGCGAGGCACCCGGCCGGCGTCTGCGGAGCGGGGGGGACTGAGGGGACACGAGTGCGGGGCTGGGGGGACCCCTCGGTAGGTGGTGGTAGGAGGAAAGTCGCGGAAATTTAGGAGGGGAAAAGAAAAAAAAAAAAAAAGAAAAAAAAAAGGGGGGGGGGGGAAACGAGAAAGTCGCGGAAATTTAGGAGGGGAAAAGAAAAAAAAAAAAAAAGGAAATAAAAATGCGGGGGGAGGGAAACGAAAATGAGGGAAATGAAAGCGGGGACTTGTAGAGAACCCTGGAGCTGTTACACCTTTTGTAAACGTGGATGAAAACCGCGATGGTCTCTCACTCTCTCTGTGGCTTTAGTTTTATTTTTGTAAAAAATAGAAAAAAAAAAAGAAAAGAAAAAGAAAAAAAAGAAAAAAGGGGAAAAAAGGATAGTAATAAAATAAAATGAATGGTCCCAGGCCACTCCTCGACATTTGCCAAACGCTAATGGGAAGCTGAATTTCTGTTCCTTTCGGATCTCTCTTTCTGCCTCCAAATAATTGTTCAGGCTCCTGATCCTGTCGTGACTCAAACTTCATCGACCACGGCTTTTCATTTAAGCAGACATTTGCCTCTTTGCTTGCCCACGTTTTGTACCTTTCGGTTTCTGCCATGAGACTTTCACGAGCAAGAAATACAGCCTCAAAGTGAACGGTTAAACACACTCGCACGCTTTGAGGGACCCTTATTTATTATCGTTTACTTAGACATTTTTAATTCTTGTTTATAATTCTTGTTTTCCTAGTTGTCGGGTTGTTTTGGGTTTTTTTCCTTGTAAAGTTATTTCGGTATCTGGGGGGAGCGGGGGGGAAATCTGTGCCCTTTTGCTTTCTTTTGTAATACTAATTATTATTAATAATATTATTGTACTTTTGAACTGTGCAATATTGTACGACGATTCTTAAAGCACTGCTTTTATTTGAATGGTGAGGAAAGGGTTTTTTTAGCATTGTAAAATTGCGTTTCTTCATGTTGTGCAAAATAAAATAAAAAAGAATTAAAAGCAAAGGAAAGTGAGAAGAGAGGAGCAGGGCATGGGAATTAGCATCGGCCCGGCTTATGCGAATAAATAAGGGAGATTCGGTGGGCTGGGCGCTTTAAGTGAAGGACAATCAACTTTAGGGTAATTTTAATTTATTTGATATGATGTACAGTTTTCTTCTAAAGTCCATTGAGTATGTGGATTTTAATAGGCAGAAATCAAGTGAGGAGTGGACACCTCTAGTCTCTCTCTGTCTTAGTGTCTGCTCACCTGTTGTCTGACAATTGTTTGCTGTCTTCCCAAGGGTTTGGGTTGGTTGGTTTCTCTTCTTTGTTTGATTTTAAATTTTGTTCTCCAGTTTCGGTTGTACCCTCTGCCCTCTCGCTTTCTGTTAGGGATCGCTCCTATTTTTAAAACAGCCTATATTGTTATAAACTTAATGTTGTGGTGGAAAAAAAAAAAATCAATAAAACCCGTTCCTTATCATTTTTAAAGTGTGGTTTCGGGCAGAAAAAAAATAATAATAAAAAGAAGATAAATAAACAAGAAAATTTAAAAAAAGTAGAAACAACAAAACAAATAACCCAAGGGTTGTCTGTGAGCTCCGGGGCTGCGGGCAGGGCACGGAGCCGATCCCGCCGGGGCTCCTTGGAGCGGGATCCAGAGGCTCCCCCCGCGGGAAGGGGCTGGATGGGCAGCGGGGTCCCGGTGCTCGGCTCACCCCGAGCCAGGGGTCGCAGCCTCCCGGGGAGCCCCGCGGAGCGAGGGGGGGGTCCCTGCCCACGGGAGCGCCGCCTCCCTCCCCGAGGGCTTTCCCTGAGCTCCTGCCGCCCCTTCCCCTGCGCCCCCCGCTGCTGCCCCTGCCCCCCTTGGCCCCTCCTCGGGGGCTGCCGCAGGGTGTCCGAGCCCTGCGCCCACGGCCGGGGCCGTCACGCGTGTCCCAACCCCCGGCAGGGTTATTTGGAGATAGGATCGCTCTCCGCTTCCCGCAGATTGGCCCGAATCGACGTGTTGATAGCGCCGAGGGCAGGATTTGGGGCCAAAGAAATCAAAATAAAACTCAGCGTTGCGAAAAGATAATCCCGCGTTTTCTTTTCGTTTGGGATAAAAACCCTGGCAATGGGTCGTAAATGAAAAATAAACAGAGTTTCGGGGTCAAAATACGGTGCTGGCTGTGTCGCCTACAAACAGAGCGATGCCTTTGCTGTTTGCAGTACCAACTTTGGGACAAGTCGCTTGCAGCCCATTAAAAATATTGTTGTCATAGTAAATACGTCTTTCCATTTTACAGCGCGGCAGCACGATGTTATCAAACGGCAAGGAAAAAAAGCTCATTTCTTTCTGGTCAGTGCTCAGAAAACGATTCCGGACCCTCCTGGCCCTTTCCCAGCAGAGGAAGGAGCCGATGGACACCAGCGCGGCTCCGGCCGCGCAGCGCGGCCTTTGCGCGGGTGCGGGCGGCGGGCAGCGGCTCTCCGCGCCCGTCCCGGGACTGTCAGGGGCATTTCCCAGGGGAACGATGATCTTGGTGGGGTTGGTGGGGCTCGGCAGGGAACTAATAATTCTAAGCAGATCCCAGCTTTTCTGCTTCCCGCTGCCCTTGCACACCGCGGGATCGACAGCAGGCGGATGCTGTGAAACCTGGCGGTGAAGCTGGGCCGTGGGCCGAGGGTCTGTGAGCCCGGCTCGCTGCCCCCCGAGCCGCCCCTCTCCCGCGGCCGGAGTTTCCCCCAGCCCGGCCGGGAGGGATCGCTCGGAGCGGGATGCTCCTTTCCCGTCCGCATCCGCAGCGAGCCGAGCCCGGCGCTCAGGCTTTTCTCAAGCCTTCAGGAGGTGTCCCCAAACTCCATCCTATCCCTCAAGGATCCAGCGAAACGCGAAGGGAAGGGTTCAGCTTCTCCCTTCGAAGAGAAGGAGCGAGGGCTCCGCCAGCCCCGGCGGTCCCCGCTGCGCTGCGCCGCTCCCGGGCGGGGAGCGCCGGCCTGGAGCGGGACAGGAGCGGGACAGGCTGCCAAGGGATCCCCCACCCCCTCCTCCCGCACCTTTGGCCCTGCTTAAAGTTTCTGGAGATCGCGCATCACTCTGGGATGGAGTGAAAGCAATCGCTTTGAGTGATGGAAAGAAAATCATCTTTACAGAAACAAAAACTCTCTGTCGGGGAGGTGGGGGCGATTCAAAGAAAGTTCCTTCGATCTTCTGTTGGCAACTCCGCGACCACTCGTGTTTACTGCTGCAAGCGCGCTCGGCAAATCTGTGCCTTTGTTTGCAATTCGAGAGATAACGCGGTTCTTCTCGGCCACTGTTTTGAGCACGGCTGAACAGAACTAGCTCCCCTGTTTGTGGTCGAAACACACATGTATTTCTTTTATTTGGTAGTAAATAGGGGGTTGCTGTGTATAGCAAACAACGCGGGGAAAGATATAAAACTTCCCGGCCACCAGATTTGGGAATTCAGAGGAGTTTTGCCTTCCGGAGGGCTGCAGCAGGGAGCGGTCCGGCCCCTCCAGCAGCCGCACGCTCCCGGCGACCCGCGTTGGGAGGTTGGTATTTTTTATCCTAATCATTATTGATAATTTCCCTTTTTTTAGCAGAATATTTTCAAATTTTCTGGTACAGGTCGGTAGGAAATGTTTGATTCTGCTGTCAGTGTCTGCGACGTGCAGAACGGGCGGCAGAGGTGAGGACACACGGAGCCGCTCCGAGGGAATAATCCCGTTTAAAAACAGTGGTGGAAAACCCTGGGGTTTGGGTTTCAGGGGGGTTTTTTTGTTTG